GGGTAAAGAGTAGTTCCCTGGCCTCTCCACCCAGGAGCCTGGGTTTCCCCACAAGAACAGGGTCTAAGGCTCCATCTTATCCTTCCTTCTTCTCCTCAAAATGGGGCACAGACTATACACATTTTAACCTTCACCTGTGATCTGTCTGTTAGTGGGCTCAGGATTTCTGATATACTGAACAAGCATCTTAGCGTCATTTAACAGTTTTGGCATCAACATCATGATGGGCCTTTATTATCATTGAAAGGTAAAAACCTAACCAGTTATAAACTTATTTTAAAATTTATGATCAATAACAGGTGGGATGCTAATGAAGTTAATGGTCAACCCAGAGGGACCCGGAGGTCTGTACAGACAGGCAGTGACGAGGCAGTCATGTGGTTGGGTTTACAACCAATGAGAAGGCAGAACAGAAAGTCTATATAAAGACAAACAGACAGGAAGTAGCTCTCTTTCGGAGAGGTCTCTTGGCTGAAGAGGCTAGCTGCAGCAGGTGGGTAAGGCTCTTAGCTCTGATCTCTTGGCTTTCTTCTTTGCATTGGTTCTGTGTTTCTTATTTAATAAGACGGTTGGTTACATCTACAGACTCTCTTCCTTTTACAAACATACCTAATGACCTTCCATTCCTACTATTCATTCTTCAGTAAAAATGCTTACATCAAACATAAAGATCTATAAGGAACCAATGACAGTAACAAATAATACCTTCAGGTTAACCTCAAAAGGACCAAAGGGATATGGGGATGGCATTTTGTGCAATCAAGAATTCTTCACATTGAGCTGCATGCTGGTGCTTATCATGCCCCCTTGCACAGAGAACAGCCTCAGCTGACACTTGACTGTCAAAGCCGCTGCCCATCCACAGTGAGGTAAAGGGCTTCTGCCTGGCACTTACTCCAATGACGTGACAGACTTACCGAAACTGGGTAGGACAGAGGCATAAATGATGAGTAAATAAGCAAATCTATGTGCTAGGCTTTTCGTTTATGACTGATATCAAAACAGCAGCCTGAGTAATTAGATTTTGAAAGTAATTCGTGTGAAAGCAATAACAAGTAAAGCTGGGAATCTGCCATTCGATTATTTAATTTCTTTCTCCTGTCCTGACTATAAATCAAAAACATTTTAAAAGCTGAATTAAAAATTCCTGGAGAATTTGGATTCAAAATGCACTAGGTTATTTTCATTGCGACCACTGTTTGGTTTTAAGACAGTGTCGTGTAGTTGATAAGGGTGACTGGCCATAGCACTATGAATGGGGTTTGTAGGAAATGGGAAGAAAACTAAGACTGGATGAGCAATTTAAAGACTTACTAGTGTGATACGGAGTGTCATGACCTGGTGTCTCCTCACCATATTCCTCATTTGGTACATACCACCATGGGGTTTTGTTTGTATTTTGGCCTCTTCTGCTAGACTGAAATCCTAGGCAGGGATATGTTGTGGAACAGTCTTTTTGTACACTGTGGATAGGTATCACTCTGGTTGGCTTAATAAAAGGCAGAATAGCCAATAGCTAGGTAGTATTTCCAGGCACAGAGGACACTGGGAAGAAGAAGGGCAGAGATGCCAAGACATACAGAGCAAGTAGTATGGGCATTACAAAGTAAAGGTAACTGAGCCACATAAAAGAACATAGATTAAAAGATATGGGTTAATTTAAGTTATAAAAGCTAGTTAGAAACAAGCCTAAGCTATCGGCCAAACTTTCTTAATTAATAATGTCTCCATGTGGTTATTTGGGAGCTGGCAGGTGGGACAGAGGAAGACTCGTCACAGGGATAATATCTTACTCATCTTTGGCTTGTCACAGGACAGCAATGCCATACCAGCAGCAGGGGTACAATGGATGAGGGTGCTGAGCAAAATCCTCCTCACTGCTTCTTAACCTTCCCCGCCTTCTCCATCGCCTTGTCCCTAGATCTCTCCATGCCCACCAATCTATGACCATCTCAATTGCTGAGATGGAGGTGGCACCTCTGCTCTCCAAACCTGAAATCCACTGTGTACCGATAGCCTTTGCTACAGGAATATCAGAGTCCTGCAGAGGTTACACCACAGGCATCCTCCTCAGAATCTACCGGGCACTTAGGACTCAACTAAGAGTCCTCCATGAGTGGCCCATACCAGCCCTCCTGGTGCTGGCTTTGGCACCCAGCACCCCATCAGACTGCATGTGTCGTACTTGTGTTCTCAGAGATTTTACAGGCACAGCTATTTACTTTGGGACACTTCCTTCATATAGTAAATATAAAGACGCACTGTCCACAACATCCAGCTGGATATGGCCTTTTCCATCTTAAGTACAAAGTGACTCATTGTAAGTGTGAACATGTGGCCACTTTATACGGCCTCCCGGTTCACCTAGTCAAAAAGGTCTCAGATCTTTATTGAAATTCTTTTTCCGTAGGTCCCATCACATATTAATTTTATTTTTAGGATCTGTTATAACCATGGGGTAGTGGGCCATTTTATTATTGAGATCTTTGGTTTGAATGGGTCCCCGAAAGGGCTGTAAAGTTAATTCCTAATACTGGGTGTTGAGAGGTAGGCCTTTATGGTATGATTGGGTCACGAGGACTCCATGCTTATGACTAGATTACAGTTGTTATAGTGGTGGATTAGTAGTCTATCCTCTTCAACCCTCTCATCTCTTTTTTTCCAGTGTTTAGCTTCCCAGCCTCTAGAACCATGAGCCAAATAAGCTTCTATTGTTTATAATTTCCTATCTATGGCTTTCTGTATTGCTGCAGTAAGAAACAAACCCAAACAGTTTTCTTATATTACCAAAAAAGAAACAGGACAGTAGAGAAGAAAACGATGTATCCAAAGACATACAGTGTATTAAGAAGTAGCCTTCTCCCATGCTCACAATATCAGGGCTGGCTCGCCCACACCTCTGCCAATGGGGTTGGCTCTATTGTGATACCCATGTGAGTGCAGGGCCTGCTCTCCCAAGTGTTACAGCTGATGGTAGACCTCAGGGCCAGCTCTTCCACCTGACTCAGGCATTGATGGGTAGGGGTGGGGCCCCCACCCACCCTCCAATCCGCCCATACTGCCACATGACAGATGAATAATTGAGTAATGGGGACAGCTCTCCCATACTCACAACTTTGGGGCTTGCTCACCCACACCTCCGCCAACAGGACTGGCTCTATTGTGCTGCCCAGACCAATGGATACTTGTGAGTAAAGACATATGCACAAAAGGGTTTACTGTGTGACTCACTGTGCCACACACAGTTTCCATGACAAGATTTTTCTCCATTTTTTTTCTTTTTTCTCTTATATTTTATGGGGCGGGGGGCGGTACAAAGGCAGAGGGCAGATACAAGGGACGAGAAATGAATGAGATCCAGATGCATGATGTGAAAGACACAAAGAATAAATAAGAAGGTTAAAAAAAAAAGCAGCCTTCTGGGGCTGGTGAGCTAGCCCAGTGGGTAGGAGTACTTCCTGTGTAAACCTGAAGACCTGGGTTTAATTCCCAGGTCCTACGGAAAAAGCTAAGCATGGCTGAGTGCATGTAAAACCCCTGTGCATGGTGGGCAGACAGGAGGGTCTCTGGGGCTTGCTAGCCGCCAGCCTACCTAAGGTGCCATGAGAGGCTCTCTTCTCAAAGGAATAGGTGGAGAGTTACAGAGCAAGAGAGTTCTTACAACCTCCTCTGGCCTTACTTCAGACTGGCATGCACACCTGCACACACACATGTACGTATAACACACACACACACACACACCACCACACACACACACACACACACACACACACACACACACACACAAGTAGACTTCTGAAGTTACTTTATAGCTGCCACACAGATGATTAATCCACATTCTAATACCCTGAATTTTCCAGTCCACCATATAAAAGGAGATAAAAGAATCTGGTCCAAGGAAAGAGTTTAATCACGTTTTCTCTTGTCATAAATTGTGTTTCCCTTATCCCAGGGGGGCAGTGTCTCTTCAAACTAGCCTTGCCTAGTCCCCCAGGGTCCTAACATGGACTAGTTGTAAGGGACTGGGAGTCAGCGTCCCTGAGATGCAGAAGAGGGAGACAGGGCGTGACTAGGTAAACATGATAGTGAGTGGCTCCTTCCTCACCCCCCTGACCCAAGACAAAAGTCTGGCAGCTTAAAACAAGGGTCCTGAGGGGTTTTCCTCCTGCCTTAGGGTCCCTGCTGAGGGATGGCTGGACAAGTTTAAGGTTGGGTCAGGACACGTTTTCACAACAGTTGTGGGCCATCAGCTCTCCTGTCTCCTTCAAACTGAACAACCCTAAATTAGGGGAAGAAGACCCTTCAAAGATGTAAAAACAAAACAAAACAAACAAACAAAACCAACCCTTAAGAGAAGCTGGGCTTCAGTTTCCAAGTCCCCCTCTGCTGTGTGGAAGGTCTTTGGCTCTGTGTGCTTTCTATCTATGTGTCTCCTCCTCACCCCTAATAAAAACTTTTCTTGGGGTTGGGGATTTAGCTCAGTGGTAGAGTGCTTGCTTATCAAGCACAAGGCCCTGGGTTCAATCCTCAGCTCAAAAAACAAAACAAAAAAAAAACAACTTTTCTTTATTGGCCAATTCTGGCTGATCCACTCTGCTGTGCTTCAAAATTTCCCTGCTGTTACATGTTAACGCTCAAGATATTTCCTGCCTTTGAATTCTTTAGCTGGCATAGAAAATGAACCGATCAAGAACCCTAGACAATAACAGAACCATGGAGCTTTTTAGTGGGGGTGGGGGTAGGGGGTGGGGATCCTCCCAGTCAGCGCAAGGACAGACTGAGCATCTCTCGATGGTCTTGTTGTACTACCTGGCTTCAGGACTCACTGGTATCTACATGCTAGCAGCTCAGACTTTCTCATCCGGTGCAGCAGCAGCAGCAAGCAGCAGCAGCAGCAGCAGCCGCCACCGCCGCAGCCATTGCTTCAAGGCATGTGTGAGTGCGTTTGTGTGCCTGGGTGTGTCCATCATGTTAAGCACGTATACTTAGGAACAACTGACCTGTGACCCCGCGAAGAGCCCTCGGTGGTTCCTCCAGTATTGAGATCTTTTTCTCACGTGGTGTGAGGGCCAGTTTTTCTCTGGCAGAGTCAGGGGAAGAGCCGTCCTTCTCACAGCCGTTCATGTGCCCGTTCTGCATCAGTGGTACCTGCGGCGGCGGCGGCGGTGGCTGCAGGGGCCCCACCTCCGGTCTCTCCACCTTGTCCTTAGCATCTTTGTTGCCTTGATGCTGCTTGGATTTGCTCCTTTTCCTCTTATTGTTCTACGTCAGAAACAAGGGGGAAAAGAGAGCTGTGTTCAGCAGAGGCTCCTGAGCGCAGAGTAAAATAAGACAATCATCCGGACGCCTGGTGTTTAATAGAATGGGTGAACACACATTTTTATTAAACACCCAGATTAATCTAAATATTGTGCTTCTAAAGTAAGTTGTTTTGAATTTTTACCTTGCAATTGTAGTAAACAAAAAGTTTCCTTAATTTGAAAGGAAAAAAAAATACAGGAGCAATAATTAAATAGCAAGGAGGTAATTTTAGCAACTTAAGAAAGACTCTTTGGATGACAATACAGAAAACTCTAATAGCTCTGAAGGAACTGGTGATATTAGGGAACAGCTCTTGCTTCTTGAAGCAGTTCTGGACTAGGAGGCCAGCTGAACACTCAGGTTTCATTATCTGGGGGAGGGAGCCTGAGCGACAGGAATAAGGTAGGCTACCCACAGCAAAAACCTGTTATGTAGCAGTTTCCTGAAACATTCCACCTTGCAGGAAGCTCCTTAAGAGGAAAGGTAAACAGCTAAAAGTAGCTTCAGGAAGTCCCTGAAACTGACCAGATTGACTAGGTCCCTCCCTCCTAAGAGGAAACAATACCTTTGAGAATCCCTCTCAAACCAGGCAAACCACAAAGAGACTTAAGCAGAAACCAGCTGAACTGCCAGGAAGATGCTCAGGCCAACTGAGGCACCTGCAGATTCCCAGCTTTGTGAGTGGTCACCCATGCTGGGGTAGGCTTTGTCTTTGAATCATTTCTGCTCCTCTAAGTAACCCCTCACCCATATTCCTGTAATTAACTCCAGTAAAACTTGTGGGTTCACCAAGTTACACTTTGGTACTATCCCTACTTTGGTCTGTCATGGGATTCCTATCTGGGGTGTGAACAGACAAGTGTTGCACCTTCCCAGGAGAAGTCTGTTACACAGCAAAAGGGAGCACAAAGCAGGGCTAACGTGGATCTCTGCCAAGGCATCGACCAATCAGGAAAGTACAAGAATTGCTGCCACCATCCAGCAAATCCAAGGCAGCCAGAGGCTCCAGAATCATCCTGGGGTTCTTTAAGCTGGGGCAGGGGCTACTACAGGGTAATACCGGATTTGTCCACTCCACCTGAACCCAGGACCTCTCAGTGGCTAGCTTAACAGAGCAAGGATCATTACATACACTTGCAAATAGCTCCACATTGCATTTTATACCAAGTGTTTTAGACTCTCAGAGTTTTACTGTATTTCTCCTCATAGGCTTGGTCACTGAGTATATAACAGCATCCAGGAAGTGAAGAAAATGTTCCTAGTTTGCAGACCCATTTTTCTTGAATTTGCGCATGCTCTCTGTCTCAACATTTATTGTGTTACAAAGCACAGGTGGACTTCAGGGGGCAACTTGCAGGAGGAGGTTCTCTCCTTGCACCATGGGGATCCCAGGGTACCAACTCAGGAGGTCAGGCTTGCCAGCCAAGTGCCTGTACCTGCTAAGCCATTCCAGGAGCCCTCGACTTTGGCATTTTTTGTATTTGGTATTCAATGCACTTAACGATCAGTGTCGCGCACATCTGACCCATCGGAAAGTATGTCCCACCTGTGGAATCCAGGCATGCCTACAGAGCACCAGGGTGGCGTTTCCCTCCAGTGCACTTAGAGACCTACAGAACCTGCTTCACCCTCTTTAGCTTCCCCACTTTCTCCTTTGAAGTCACAATCATGTCCCAGCTCTTCTGAGTGGGAGATTTGTATTGCTGAGCACAGGCAAAAAAAAAAAAAAAAAGGGACAGTGGAGACTCATTTCCCCCCCACCTCTTCCCCAACAAACCCCACCGTTGACTTCTGGAGTTCAAGCCCAATGTCCATTGGGTGGGGTCTGGAGACCATCTCCCTACTGAACCCCTAAGAGGAACTCAGCAAGGATTTGGGTCTGCAGCTGTGGTTTGCGCCCGCCTCCCAAATCAGAGAAATTTCAAACCCAAACCACACATCTGAAAGTTTTCCATGTAAAGATAAATGCCACCTTTCAGCCACTTGCAAATCATCCCAATCTCCCAGGGAAGCCTGGGAAAGCTATGATTAAAGATAAGCAGACAGTGTCACACACGGCGGCCAACAAAGCAGGGGAACATCTAATTCTCCCTCTTCTACAAGGAACTCCAAGGAGAAGAGCAGCACAGGCCGAGTCCAGCACTTTCTGTGATCTTGCGACTGTATGAAAGCAGCAACGTGGCTTTTTCGTTTGTTCAAAACCTGTTTCCCACGCCTGTGATCTTCGGGGGCAGGGTGGGTTGGCGTCTTAGGTCTATGAGAAGCAGAGCACAGGGCTGTGTGGTGCCCGTGTGGAAACGCAGGGCTGGGTGGCTGTGCAGAGGAGCAGACTTTCCCTCGTGCATGCGTACGTGTGTGTGTGTGTGTGTGTGTGTGTGTGTGTGTGCAAACACACCATGCCTGTGCCCAGGAGCCACACAGCCTGTGACTGGATGGGGCAGAGTTCTCATTTGAACAGGACAGAGGAAAATCTCCCCAGTGCTGTCAAGGAGCAGGTCAGGAGCGCTCCAGAAGGACCGTTGCTCTCTACGGTTTTAAGGCATTTCCTCTTTTTATTGAAGACTGATTTCAGGGGAAAAGCTCCCTTTGGATAGAGATTTTTCAGTTGGAAAAAAAATGTGACAATACATTTAGAGCGTTTAAAGTATCTTTAAAGCACTCCTTAATTTTTTCCTTTGTGCTATGGGATATGCTCGGGCAAGTTAACATCTTCTCTACTTTGAATTCTGACTCGGGGCTCCCCTTACTACTTACAAAGAAGCACAGCTCTGGCGCTCCTTAAGCACAGCTGGTGGGTAAAAACACTGGACAGAAAATAAGGCCATTAGGAGTGAAAGTGGCTGGTAAGGAAGGCAGGCACGGATTCGGAAGCTTTCCGGGTGTGCGCATTAACAAGTTTGAAAGAAGCACAAAGCTGGCAGCTTTGCTGAAACGGTAACAACACTGACGCTTGGACTGGAGATGTTACTAATTCACCACCGCCCTTAATCTTACCTTCTTTTTTCCTGTCATGTTCCATTCTTTAAGAACTTGAATTGCGCTGCCTAGATAAAGAGAAAGAGTCTTCAACAAATATCCACACAATAAAGGCGACAGAAAATTCATCTGTGCCGGGGTAGCAAGGGGGTAGGGGGAGGCGGGGCGGACTTCTTCATTTGTTTTGATACAGCCTACCTTAATAAAAATGCCAGTTTCGTTTCTCATTTCCAAGATTTTCATTTAATTCACTGCACAGCCTTGGTTTTTATAAAAGTATTAAGCCCTACTTCACGAAGCTTACTCTTTTTTTTTTTTTTATCATGATATTGTCTTAGGGAATATGAAATATATCTTGAGAATTTTCTGATAGCTTCGTTGCCACAGGTAGAATTAAAATTGTTGTTTGATATATGAATAAAGTTTTATAATCTTCTGAAGCAAACATGGGATTCTCTGTGTTATTAACCACGACAGCCGGACCTTTCTGTACGGCCTTCCTTTCTCCATTTTTACTCTCACTCAGTAGGTTCAAGACTTGCAGGGGGCTGAGGAGGACAGAGCCTGTGATAAGTTTCTCTCCATCCTCCAGGAAAGGATAGAATGTGTTTTTTACAAGGCTTCCAGTTCAAAACCAACCAAGTTCATTAAATGACTAATGGTCGCCCAGTCACATCCATAACCTTGACCTGATGGAGTTAAGAAACATGTCATCACTATCAGCTGTGGTCCGTTTCCACACACTTTAACAAATGTATTCCAACTTTCTGGGAGGGAGTTCAACAGTTCCTGATAGTGAAGGGTCAGGTGACTGAATATAAGCAGGTACTTCCTCAAGGGAGCGGGTCCCAAGAAGTCCAACAATTTGAAGCATATTCTCAGCTCCCATGACACCGACAGCTGTGGACAAGGCATTGGCTAACCAGAGACGAACTTCGAACTGGTCTCTATGGTGAACTTCAAATTAGTAGGCCGCTGCCATGGAGGGCGCTAACAGACAAGCTGAAGGCTATGGTGTTGAGACAGACTGACCACTCCTATCTATCCGGAGTTTCCAATTCAGCTCCCTCCTTGTCTTGTTTAAGTTGCATGCATTGGAGATAACAAGGCTGCACTCAAAAGCAAACTAGAATTTACACTTTTTCTTTTCTTTTTCTTTTCCTTTTGGTTTTTTGAGATAGAGGTTCTCTGTGTAGCCCTGATTGTCCTGGAACTCGCTCTGTAGACCAAGCTGGCTTTGAACTCACAGAGATCCACCTACCTCTGCCTCCCAAGTGCTGGGATTAAAGGCGTGTGCCACCACGCCTGGCCATGTAGTTACACCTTTTATTAACTGGGTTGGTGTTTCTCTAATGTGCCCAAGGAGTTGATATTTGTTAACAGTTTCCTGGTATGGGGCATTTCTTGTTTGTTATTTATCAGAGTCATTCTGACCATTAGGCTTCTACTTTCTAAGTAAAGTTAAACTTTAAAAAACATTAAAAGCTGTTCTCATCGGAAGGCAAGCTGTGGCTTTTGCAGTCCGACACTCATTAGTCTCATTTTCATATTTTGACATCAATCTTATTTTTAATTTGGACGATGAGCTTACACAGAGTAATTATCAAGAAGTACTCTTATTTACAAAGGATTCTGAAAGTGTTGTTATTAAATCTTAACTGTGTCAAAGGTGCTTGGAGGTGTTTTCTGTAAGCCATTAGGATTAGTGATTTCAGTGTGGCCCATAAAATACACTCAACAGATTTTTTTCTTTTTTTTTAACTCTTACTGGGTTTTAAGCAACTTTTCTCATTGGTTTACAACTAAAGAGATGAGGATCATCAGCAATCAGTGAACTTTATGGGGTCTTGACATGGACAAACAGAACTCCAGAAGCAGAGCCTTGCATTCAAATTCCCCCAGTGTTGACTACAGTCCATCACGGATGGCCTCCGTGCATCTTATCAGGGTCACACTGTAACAGAAACCCTCCAGGATGGGAAGTGGGGGTGGAAAGGGATGGGGCAAGCAGCCCCAAACATTTCTCTGAACCTTTTCTCATGCACGTGATGTGGCAAGGGAAACCCGACAGAAGAATTTTGAATTTCTCAGTTAGGATGTGCATATTTAGAAAATTTAAATAGGGTGTGTGTGTGGCAGGGAGCAAGTCACTTCTACCATTTTAGCCTACTGACTAAAGCTTGTACATTGGAATCTTCATAGTGTACATAGTGCAGGAAGCAGGGCAAACAGTGAGAAATTTCACATAGCAGATTTGCTTGCAGGTTTCTAAGAATGATCATCATCTGTTCATTTAATTAGGACCTGAAGCCTCAAGCACCAATACAGAATGTGGGTACAGTGCTTGGCTCCTGGATCTTGCCCTAAAATGCTATTATACTCAAGAATATAGAATGCTATAGAAACTCAAGAGGGTCATTCCACTCCTCACAAATTAAGGAAATCATTTTGTCCTTGACACAGTGTGAAGAAGGTATAGCTGAGCTACGTGCTGGCAGGTCTTTCCCAGCCGTATTTGTCAGGTTGAGTTTAGCTAGTCCATTATTTACAGAATAGAAAAATATGCCAGGAAGTAAGGCATATAATGAGCATGACAAGAAAGAGTTCTTTATTCAAAATAAAACATTAAGAAAGAAAATTTCTTTATAATTTACAGAGAAGATACCCAAATTTGTAAATGTATAGGATAAACATTTTTCCAGATCTGGGATTCTACAGTACCACTTCATCAAGGCACCTGATAAAAAAACAGAATTTTTCCTAAGAAACCAAAATCAATTAAGAGGTAGATGAATTGATAGTATGATTGACTGAGTGATATAACTGCTGTGAACAAAAACCATTACAATGAGGAATTCAGTCCACTTGGAGTAGCCAAGCATGGGATTTTCAGGTCACAGCCATGACACTCAGTAGACTTCTGCTGGCTGAAGAGAAAATGCCTTTCAGGACAGCAATGTCCTCTCCTCACAAGGACACCATCAAATAAAGGACATTCTTAATAAACTGAAATAACTGGCAGAGAAACCAGTGGCTTTATAATTAGTGGCCTTGAGGTCTTTACAGCCTCCCTTATTTTAAATGACAGGAAAAGACCTTTCTGTATTCTGCTCTTACAATGTCCATGTTCTTGTGAAGTCTATTGTACTTTTTAGTTCCTTTATTTGTTTTGTTCCTTGAGACAAGGCTTCACTATGAAGCCCTGACTGGCCTAGAACTCAGGGTCTCATTATGTATCCTTATCTGATCTGGAGCTCACCATGTAGACCAGGCTATCCTTGAACTCACAGAGATCTGTCTGCCTCTGCCTTCAGAGGGTGGGGATTAAAGCTGTAATTTTTTTTGAGACATATCAGAAACTAAGTAATGCTCAGTTCATTTAAAGGAAAAAACACAGGGTATCTGAACTAATTAGCTCTAGATTTTCAGTTTTCGGTGGGCATATATACCTACCATCCACAAAGGCTTGCACGGCCTTGTCCACGTTGAAATCAAACTGTTGTAGCACCAGGACGATTTCGTTATTGCTTTTGTTCGGAACAACGGATCTAACTGCATAGATCTACAAGAAAAGGAAAAGAAAAGCAGAAAGGTAAACTCCCTGAGCATTGCTCACCTACAGATCTGCCACTAGATAGAGCAGAATTGTAACTTCGAAAGGCCCTGGAAAGTTAACCGTCTGTCTTCTCGCCAACAAGCAGACTCCAGGCCTTCCAGAGCAGCAAGCATTCATGGGGCGTTGTGGGGGGGGGGAGAGTAATCACCTTGATGCCTACTTTGTTTGTGTGCACACCTCTACAGAGATCTCCTTGTGAGGCTGTAAGAACAAGTGTGCAAAGCCAACTCTGGTTTGGCAGTCAACCCTCTCGGAGGCTGGGATGCATACAAGACGTGTTCTCAGTGAGGACACAGAATCTTTTTCTGTCTCAAGCTTCCTTTCCACTGGCTTGGGGGTATCTTTAGAAAACATACAGAAATAGCTTCATGCCTCCGCTTCTCTCTGGGCACAGTAGAAGCAGTCATATGAGGGTCACAGAAGTGTGCTGTGAAACACCATCACTGTTTATAAAGACAGGAGAATATGAACTTGTGAAAGGGTAATTCTAGCTACATTACAGAAAATGCTCTCAAACACCCTCCTGGGGGAGGGGAGGAAACACTGAACAGAGTCAAAGTAAACACATGTACGAGCCAAGGATTCTGATGCTCGTGACCGTTCACTCTTCGATGACGTAGACGCTGTCCTCCATCAAATTTAGCATGGGTTCTTTCTGGTTGCCTGCAAGAATTAATTGACCTTTATCTCAAAGAACTTGTGGTTATTACAGACTTGTTCCACGTCTTTTAGCAGAACCCATCTCACCTCTTTCTTATGAGAAGGATTTCTGTGCTAACAAATGCTAGAGCTCTGCACGGGGCAGCGGGAAGTGCTCATTAAAGAACTGTACAATCTATACATGATCCACTCTGAGTTAAATCAGGACCAGTGAGTTTCAGAGTTAAATGGATTTTGTTATAATTGGATTCATGGGGTATGGATTATAGAAGTGCGGTATGTATAATATGACACTATTGACCAGACATTTAACTGAGCAGTACAGACAACTTCTTGATTATGTTAGAAAATAGGCAGCCTGTTCCACACAGATCTGTGTGTAATAGTATTTAGGCTATAATGAGAAAATAGCATAGGCTATGGGCACAGGACTTGTAGAAATGTTGACATTATTGATCAGAAGATTGGTTTCAAATCCTGACATTTAAAAATACTAAATATTTGAGCTTTGCTGAGTTTCTACTAGAATATATGCTTGTATATATTCACTCAGTACTCCTTTGGGTTTTCACTATTCTCACATTTTATGGTTCTTAATTCCTCTAGACTTCATTAGAAAAACCCAACTCTTTAAAAAATCTAAGCTCTTCACTGCTTTGCTACTACTTCTTAAAAAAACCCCGTTCAGCGAATACTATTTATTTATTTTAGATAGGGCCTCATTACATGGCCTCAACTCTCCTGCCTTGGCCTCCCAGAGGCAGACATGTGTCACCAAACTGACATACTTACTGCAGCGGGTCTAAACCTGTGGGTCACGATGCCTTTGGGGTTCACATATCAGATATCCGGCATATCAGATATTGACATTATGATTCATAACAGTAGTGAAATTACAGCTATGAAGTAGCAACCACATAATTTTATGGTTGAGGGCCACCACAACATGAGGGACTGTATTATGTTAAGGGTGGCAGCGTTAGGAAGGTTGAGAACTACTGACTTAGTATAGGAGGAGGCACCACACTTCCTGAAACCGAAGGGCCGCCGAGATGTAGACAGTGATCAAATGACCAAAGAGAGTAGACTGGATTTACAGCTGGCATACACGTGCTAAAGCCTCATTGGCAGGGACAGCTGACGCGGTAGAGGCGCTCAGGTGTGGAAGATGAGTGAGGGGAGGTGGACGGGAGGGCGAGCGAGAGCATTCTGGGTGGAAAGAAGAGCACGGCTGGAGGGCACTTCACAGTGAGGGTGGAGGGGAGCCAGGGTGAGGCTGTCAGTGCACAGTGAGGTCCGACCTGACAGGCACCAGGGCGGGCAGGGTCTCCAAGGCTACGGAAACCGTGTCAGCCTCATGAACACCCCTCAGTTGTTTGGGGAGTGCTCTTCTCTCATGGGTTTATCATGTGTAAAGGAGAGGTATTCTTTTTCACTGAATATTAAAATGTCCTTAAGAGAAGCCAAGACGGGGCCGAAGATGGAGCTCAGTTGGTAGAGCACTAGCCTGGCGTGTATCAGGCCCGATATTTAAACCAAGATCCGAATTAACAAAGCCATTTAGCCCAGGGAAGTCATCAGCAGTAATAATGGGTAATATGTGCCTTAATACCTTCTAGTGCATTGGAGTTACCATATTACACTTCTAATATCTGTTAAGTAAACACAATTTTAGCAGTTCAAGCCACTACAGTTCGTCCATGTGCAAAATGTCTTAATAATGACCATCATTATTGCCACCTCAAGCATGTCTTTTTGAATAATAAAATGCTTAGTTATTAATTACACTGAGTAGATTATTGTAACATTAGACCAAAGTTTTCAAGCCACCTACACACACAGTTGTATGACTGGCCAAGACCAGAATTAATAAAACGAACATAAAAATAATTGCTTCTAGACTCCTCTGCAAAACAAAACGTTTCATTATGTTAAGGCAAAAACGATGTAAGCTGTGGCTTGCATGGACACTCTCTCACCAGACACCTGCATTTACTCTCCCAATCCTTTTAAAAACAGAAACAGAATCCAATGAGCGTGGTCAGCCATGTACAGACATACAGCATTGTGTGTCCTCTGTTTAGTGTGGGTGGGGTGGGGTGGGGGGGTGAGTGTATACACATATGTATGTGAGTGCACATGTGTGCATGTGGAGGCCAGAGGTCAACATCTGGTGTCTTCTGCAAGGGCTCTCTGCCTTAGGTTTTGAGACCGACTCTCTTATAGATCCTGGAGCTAAAACCCAGTGAGTTCCAGGAATCCACTTGTCTCTCTCTCCTCAGCCCAGGGATTACAGACGTGCATCACACTGCCCGATTTTAATGCGGGTGCTGGGGATCACGCTCAGGTCCTCACATGTGTACTGCAAGCACCTGAACCAATGGAAACCATCTCCCAGGCCTCCGAATGCTTCCCTAGAAAATCATCACTAGGAGAGTTGTGATATCAAATCTGGGAGAAGCAGATCCAACTCCTGGAGGATGCTCCTTAATGAGAGAAGAGGTATTCCAAGCTTTACAGAAATGAGCAGATAAAGGGTAGAGATCTTGCCTGTTCTTGGCTACTCTTCAGTAATGCCCAGTTCTGGGCTAACTTCTGCTCTGATCAGCGAGCTTTGCTAATGTGAAGAGAGCAGCACAATTCATAAACCCACCACTTTATGTCTGTAGAGAAACGCCTTCAAGGGAGGGTGCAGAAATCACATGTGCTCCTGTGTGCACATAAACACGCAGGAGCCGACCGGTTGCTATTCTCCATTCAGCAGAATCGAAGGGCCTGAGCATTTAAGTCTAAGAAAGACCTCATTTCCAAGTGGCGGAAAATGCAGGGTATGCATGGATAGCCAAGGCTGTGCCCGGAGGCGGCTTCTGCCTGTGGAAATGCAGCTCCTGAGAGCTGCAGGAACAGCTCCTTCAATGCGTGACTAATGGCACTTTGCAGACGGAGAACTCATGAAATTCATGCCGGCAATAGCTGTGCTGCAGAGACCACTTCTGGCGTGCTGCTTCTCACACACACAGCCGCTCCTTCCCCGCCACAGCCCCAGGCCCTTCTGCAGCAGCTTTACAACAAAGCTGGAAGCTGCTGCCCTTGACAGCAGTCCTACTGGGCTCTCCTGCCAAATAACAGAGTGGTCCATCCGTGCCCACCAGGCAGCCATTCAGGCTGCTGGGTGACAAGACTAGATTGGCTAGTTAGCGCTTCATTTAGCAACTGCTTTAGCCTTCCAATATCACACTCATCTGTTTTGCTTCTACTAATGTACGTCTGGTCTGGCAAATTCAATTTGCTACTCAGAAAGGGGTTGTTGTAATGTTACCTTCTGAGTGGTTTTCATCTGGATTCCCTCCTTTCTCGGGGGGCTTTCCTATCTGGGCCCGCAGGCTCTGGCGTATTCTGCGCCAGGCCCATCCTGTTGGCTCCCGTGCTCTCTAAGCAGTGGGATGTCCAGGGTGCTGTTTGGTGTGTAGCTGAGCTGTCTTTGGTTGAAGACCTGGTAAACAGATTTCCTGTTCACACCGCACATTATCAAGCCTGTCTGCGACAGCTCCTTAGACATTGTTCTTGGCTTACCAATCGATCTGAAACCATGCTGGAGTTTCAAAAGTAATTCAGGGAAGAATTCCTAATCTACTTACACTGCTGTGCGATTAGCCAAGACCCAACATTATCAACGGACACAAAACAACCGGTGTTCCCACCTCTAGTGTCCTCCTTGAAAATTCACTCTGATGCTGCTGTCCTTCCAAAAGTATAGTTGTCCCGTGGTACTGAGAGAGATGTGTTCCAGGACCTCTAGATATATCAAAGCCCATGGAAGCTTAAGTTCTTTATTAAAAAAAAAAGGGTCATATTTGCATATAACCTACGCAAATTCTCTACGCACTTTAAATATGTATTTTAAAATATCCCTCAAACAATGAAAACAGTTATACTGCATTGTTTAGGGAATTATGACAAGACAAAATTCTATATACATTCAGCTTCTTTCCAAAATGTTCCTGATCTGTGGAGAACTGAACTCATGGGTGCAGAACACGTGGGCACAGAGGGATGGCTACCGAACCGTGACCATCTCACTCCCTCACCGAAGAACCAAGAACGAAGTGCACTTTGTACATCCTGGCATTCAAGGCCATCGGCAACAGGGGCTTCAGCCGGCTTTTCCAAGTGACTCTTTTCCTCTACCCGGCACAGACAGGCGCTTCAGAGCCGGTTTTGACCCCTAGCCTCGGACCTTCCTCTGGGTTCGTCCTTCTACCCAAGATGCACCTTGCCCCATTCTT